CCTCGGCTCAAGCTTATTTCCAGATTCTACCACGCAGAGCATTGTAATTTTGTTCACTATCCAGTAGGGGCCGTTCCAGGAGCACCTGCGCTTCCACCAGACCTACCAGGTGACGGCCCGCCGAGGCCGCCAGCATTGGACGATGGCGACGCAGGGGGCCCTGATGGGTCAGATGAGGAAGCTGGAGACCATGACGATGATGACGGCCCAGCTGGCGGCGGCGGAGGCGCCCCCCCTGGCGACGGACCCCAGCGCGATTCTCAAGAGGTTACCTTGATGCGCCAATATCTTCAACATGCGTTGCAACCAATGGAGTACATATCAGTGCCGAACAATCGCGTCGGAGAAGATGAGCCTGAGCTGTTCGTGCTCCAGCTGCTGAGCATGGAGAGTCGCGCCATCCTGGTGCCGACCTTCCTGGACAAGATAAAGGAGAAGTGCATCGCCAGCGCCACCGTCCAGCCGATGGAGCTGTGGAGGGACATCTGGCGTCTCAAATGTAGTGACGTTTGGGTGAGGGGACGTAGCAAGATTCGATAGCTTACGCATTCCGCATCCCATCCCATCCACCACGAGCCTTTGCCAGCGAGTTGCTCTGATCCCTCGGGGGTGCGATGATGGGCGCAAGGGTAAGTGAGGGGGGCAAAGCCCTGCATGAAGGGGGTAGCTGCAGGGGGTGGGTAGCCTAGTACAGTCGTTTCTCTGAGTGGGCCCCGCAAGGGGCCGTCTGACCCCCCTTCCCCACCGGCCTCGAGCGACCCCACTGGGGCCGATGGGAAAATCAAATATGGCCCTGGGAGGCCCGAAAGGAGGGGTGATTGCGCAGCTTCGACAACACCTCCACAGGACCGCAGTCGTGGTCATGATGACCATCGGCATCTCGACGTGTACCAGTTAGAGGATCCAGAGACGATCGATATCATCTCTCTTGTTGGCGTGGATCCCGCTGGCTTAGATCGTATCCTGACGTGGCGAGTGTCCGAGGCTGACACTGAAGGATCCCTTAGCCTGGAGTCGCCGCAGGTCGCGACGCCGACGCTTCCTCTCAGCAACAAGAGCGTGCCCGTCCTTTGCCTCGTGAAGGCGCTCGAGGACGACGGGTTCGCAGCCGCCCATCGAGTCGTTAAGCACGAGCCTGGCGATCCAGTGCGTGTCTTTGATGCGAGGAAGCTCGTCAGCCAGCGGGCGTACCTGCAGTGCGTCTTAGCCAGGGACTTCATCCATGGCAAGGGCGTGACGTTCGCGTCTGGGAAGACGTTTCAGTTTTACCGTCTGTTGCTGAGGGAGCCCGCCGCTGCTGACGCGTCCTTGTCAGCCAAAGCGCTCAAGAGGAAGTACCAGGAGCTCACTGGCGATGTGGTGCCCATTGGGGCGCTGGATCGGCGACCGAAGCAGCGGCTTGCCTTGCCGCCAGCTGGACCACCAGCAGCAGCACTTGAGGATGGCGGCATTTGTAGAGATGATGGCGCTGTTCCAGATGATGCGGCCCCTCTTCCTGCTCCTGTTGCCGACGTCCCTGAGGCAATCGCGGATGCGCCTCCGCCGCCTGCTGGGCCAGAGAGTTCCAGCAGTTCCAGCAGTCCCAGTTCCGTCGCAGGTTCACGGCTACGTCCCAAACACTTCAAAGGGAGTAACATATATTTATATCGTTTGAGCCTTGCCGCGTTTGGAGGAGGGGGAGGAGGATGAGGAGAAGGAACGCGCACAATGCAGGATCGGAATGATGGGTGGATAAGTGAGGGCAAGCTGATATTTAGGAGCGATGCTGCGAAACTGAAGCCACTATCATTAACCACCCCCTGGGGGAGATACGGGGTGAGGGCCGCGCGGGTGGACGAGGTGAACTGACATTGTTCCCCCAGGGTTAATAAGCCATGCAACCTCGGGAGTGTTTCGCATCCCCGCCAGCCCATCCAGATACGATGCGCAACGACAAACCTAGGGCCATAGCGCTCTACAAGCAGGTGAAACACCTTGCCTATCTTGTTATGATCGTCACATTGGCTCCTAGATGCGTCCCAATATCTCGTCCACATCTTACTTACAAAAACTGTAGTCCACTATGTTTCAGCTGGCGCCCTACTGGAGTGCACCTCCCCCGGGTGACGACGCTGGAGGGGACGAGGCGCCAGCGCCGCCACTCCCGCCACTCCCCGACATCGGCGAGCTCAAACAAGATAACCACTATAGGAAGGGCAAGTTGTACACAGGCTGGCGGGTCACTTGTACGGCCCACGAGGGTTGCAACAGGTTCCGATCTGATGCATTGTGGCTGGACGAGTTTGGAGCTCGCAATTATTATTACTACTTGGGTTGTTGGCTCCGACGTGGCGGCGAGTGCACCCGCGACGAGCACAGGGCTTACTACCCAACGCTTGCGGAGGTGCGTGCGTGCAGCGACAGCTTGTGAACGATGGGAAATGAGAGTCTCTCGAGGACGATGGGGTCCTAGTCTCCCCCACGTGTTTCCAAGACTCGCCCTCGCCTCAGGGGGGCCTCGTAGCCCGTCGTCTCTCATGGCCTTGTCGTCTTCGTCGCCCTCTCACTTGGCCCCCCCACTCGTGCGTGCTCAGCGTCGTCATCTTCCTCCTTCTCATCCCAACCCTCCCCCCTGCTCCACTCTCTGTCCGTTCGGTAGAGTACGCCCCCTCGCTCCACGGAAGGTCCCAGTGGAGGGTTGCAGTTTCCTGAGCTGGCCAGTGGACCCCTACCCTTTCTTGTTTTTTTTTCGACGCAGAGGGGGGGGGGCTGATCCGTGTGTACGACTGCTCCCTCTAGGCGTATCGCATGTGTACACTGCGCCTTGCGGGGCGGTTATTGGCCCTCGAGGCGTTCTTCCTGTCTTGCTGGCTGGAGGGGGGCTGCGAGTTTCAGCCGTGAGACGCGATCACTCACTGACTTGTTGCGGCCGCCGTTGGGATCCCCCCTAAGGCCCCAAAGCGCCTCATAGGCCCCCCTAAGAGCAAGCAAAAGCTTCTTCAAGTAGCTTCAAGCCGATTCCAAAGAGGCCAACCGAGACCGTGTCAATACCACGCCAAACCGTGTCAATACCACACAGAACCGTGTCAATACCACACACAACCGTGTCAATACCACACAACACCGTGTCAATACCACACCAAGAATTGCCAATACCACACAAAACCGTGTCAATACCACACCAAGAATTGTCAATACCACACAAAACCGTGTCAATACCACACCAAGAACTGTCAATACCACACAAAACCGTGTCAATACCACACCAAACCGTGTCAATACCACAGAGCGAAATCCAACAACCATGACGCTCAAGAAACGTTCTAAGGACCGACATTTGAGAGGTCGCAGGGTCAAGCTTTGTTTTCGGATTTGGTTCGCGTGTGAGTGCCACGCAGGCCGCTCCCCTGGGGCAGCTAGAGCTTTGCGTAGGCCCCCGACGGCCGAACACATGAAACGCCTTGCCGAACAATTCCGTAGGTCAGAGCTCAAACCGGCCACCCCCCATAGTTGCTTCGGCGCGTCGGGCCCCGATGCCGCCCAAGAACGCCAAGTGGGTTTCAAAGTTGACGAGGCCAGCGAAACGCCGTGTGAGGAGGATGTCTAAGATGTTGAAGCTCACCCGCATGTTCAACGTGATGCTGCTCAAGAGGATTCGCGCCTTGAAGACTCAGATGCAGAATATTGCTGATTCCGCCACTTCTGCTGCGAACAGGGACAACGACAGAGCGCGTGAGGACGCAGCGACGATCGAGAATCTTCGGAACGCTGCGGAGCTCAGCACGTCCGAGAGTGACTGATCATTAGGCGCGGAGCCTCGCCGTCCCCCAAGGGTCCCGATGCGTGCTGTGCTGTGCTGCTCGTTTCCCCGAGGTGAAAGAGATTCTGTCCTCATGGGGGACGGGGCCGCTTTCGCCCGCGGGAAAGAGGGGCATAGCATAGCGCATCGAGCATGTCAGAACGAGGACGCCGTTCCTGGCAGCTGCCGCTTGCCCGAGGGAGGATGCGGCTTCTCGTGCTAGGCCGCGCGAGGGCGATGAAAAAAACAAGCGTGCGCCCAGACGCACACCTGTTATCCCAATTTCGTTTTATTCGAACGGGGCCCCATGGCCACAAATGGTTCCCAAGAGGATCTTGGGCACTTCTAGGGGGGCGCTTCGTACTTCCTTGTTGGGCCTGTCGGGTTGGAATATTCCCATCCCTCCCTCCCTCTCCTACCCCCCCCTCCCCCCTCCCCCCTCGCTCCAACGGGGGCCATCAACTCCTCGAGAGCCCACGCGTCTCCAGCGTGGCAGAGACGTGCGCGAGCACCCCATCCAGCTATTCAACAGCCGTGGGCGCCGCGCCTTTGCAGTCACAGGGAGACGTCTCCAAATATTTATGTGTTACGCTTGTTTCGACACATCCACCTGTAGAAATAAAACCTTGGTGTCGAGAGCAAGCGCAGGATGCAGCGGAGGAGGAGGGGGGAGGACGAGGAGGAGAAGGAGGAGGACAAATGCTAGGCTGAGTATGGGTAGGAGTACGAGTAGGAACAGGTTTTAGGAATCGGCGTGGGAGTAGAAGTAGGAGTACGTGTAGGAGTAGGGTTAAAAGGAGGAGGACGAGGAGGAGCAGGAGAAGGGAGGAAGATGGGGAGGAGGATAGGAACAGGAGGACGATGGGGAGGAAAGGAGGACAGGAGGACAGGAGGTGGAAGAGAGGGGGGAGTTGTTTAACTGAGGTTACCTCTGGCGCATAGGCAAAGTCCTTGCGATGGTTCCCAAGGCCCCAGGAGAAGCATCCGAACATGTTGACCCTGCTTGAGCCTATGTAAGTTCCTCTTTGGTCAAGCTTTGGGGTTGGCTCAACGATGAATTCAACGATGCGTGCTGCTCCGTTTTCGGTCTTCTCACTCTTGGGCCCCCCCCCCCATGGCATCGTCACGTCTATCGGTCTCCCCAGCCGTGTTGAGGCCGAGTGTTGCCACCCCCTTTCGTTTGTTCGACCTTCGGCTGGCCTGGAGCACGCGCCCAGCAGAGATGGGCCGCAGCGATGACGAGATGGGCGCCCCGTCGGAGGTCAACGCGCCCACGGAGGCACGGCGCAATTTTGCGTCGAAGAGGCCATCTCCAGGACCTCATGGGCCGCCAGGGTCTGCGCAGGGCATCGAGGTCCTCGTCTGCTTCTTGTGCCAGGAGGGCGGCAACCTCTGCGAGAGCTGGTTCGGCAAGTCGCTGCACCACCAGTGCAAGCTCGCCGTTCGCTCTCGCAGGCGCGCCGTCATGGGCACTCCTGCGGCTCTCAGCGGCCAAGCCGACATGAGCCGTGACCCCGAGAAGTGGCGCGCCACGCACTTGCCCTACCTGGGCAAGGACGCGCGCAGGGAGGCCATCCAGGACTTCAAGACGACCCAGAAGCAGCAGGAGTCCAACATGTCAGTCGACAGGGACCTCGCTGGGTGCGAAGACGTCTGGCTCACCAAGGTTCGCTACCGTGGCTTCATGGGATTCTGGGAAGGCCTGTCCAAAGAGGAGGCCGACGAGCGCTTCGACGCTGCGTTCGATGCGAACCCGAAGTACAACAAGGGGAACCAGCAAGTCGTCCTCGCTGAGGGCAACGAGTACGTCAAGCACGAGGCGGGCACCGAGTCGAAGCGCGGGGTCGTGCAGGACACCCCGATCGGCGATGAGGACGACGACGAGGGATACGAGGACGGCATGGCCGAGACTCCCCGTGCTGCGAGTTCTGTGGCGGCGAGCAACTCTGGGGTCGAAATGCTGCGCGCTCCTGCTCCCAGCCGTGTCGGTTGCCGCCGCGTGGTCTCCAGGGCAACCCCCGAGATGCCTACCCAGCCAGCCCGCAAGAAGCTCGAGGCCATTGAGTCTCCAGAGACGCTCGGCCCCCACGCGAAGCACCTGCGCGCCAAGAAGGCGCTCCAGGAGGCGGTGAAGGAGATCGTGAAGGGCTTCGAGGGCAAGGCTACCACGCATGCGCGCTTGACGAAGCTGGCAGAGAGGCACAAGGAGTACCCCGACTTGCCAGGGAACTTGAAGACTGTGGTGGAGAAGTTCGCGAGCATCCAGAAGCAGGCGAAGCAGCTTGGCTTGAAAGCTGAGCGGGCTGGGTCCACTGGAGATGGCTCTGCGGCGTCGTGCACTACGGAGCTGGATTCCCTGAAGGTGGAGTTGGCCTCTTGCTGGGCCGACGCAACGGAGCTCGCGCAGTCCTTGGATTTGATCGACAAGGAAATCCAGAGCACCAAGCGGAAGAGCTACCTGCAGGACCGCCACCAGTCTCAGAAGGTGTGGGTCCAGCAACAGCGTCCACTTGTTCACCCTCGTTGTAGGAACCCTGGAAACTCTGAGACGTCTGAGACGCAACGAAACTGGAGGTTGATTGAGGAGGACGGGACTGGAGGAGGATTGAGGAGGGGACGGACTGGAAGGGAAGGCAGGTGGTGGAGAGAGGATGAGATGAGTTTTTTTTCGGGCGACCTTGAAGGTTGCTGGCACTCTGAATGCGTCTGGGGTGTTCGACGCGCAGCTGGCAAAGCACGTTGCCCCCTTGATCGCGCAGACCTGGGCGAAAGCTCAGGCGACCATGATTGCTGACGAGGAGGGTGATTACAGCGCCTACTGCTTGCAGCCCGTGTCCAGCTGCGGGAGCACCATGGACGCGAACATGAACGAGTTCGATCCGACAAAGCTGTTCGCTTGGAAGACCCCGTTCGCCTCCTTCCAAGATATGGTGACTGACATTCACGGCCCCATCGATGAGCGTTGCATCAAGCTGAACGAAAAGATGGCGGTCAACCGCGATGCTTGGCCGGGGGCCCAAGCGAACGTGGACACCAAGAACGATTACGGTGATCACCTGAAGTTCCTTCCCGGCCTGGGGCCCCACCTGTGCTGCATTGTCCGCAATGCGTTGCGCTTGGGCGCGATGGCCGTGCCACTGCCAGCTTTCAGTTGTTTCATGTCCCTTTTGAATGAGAGCATGTTTGTGTTGATGTATGACGTTGCCGAGATCATCAGCCAAGGGATTGTCTTGAAGGACATCCTTACCTTCTTGAAGAGCTCCTCTGGCGAGGCCTTCTTGAAGTCCAAGCATGCTGTTTGTGTGTATCTTCCAAAGCATTCTGTACTGTTTGTGCCCAGCGGTTTCTATGTGCAGCCAGTCTTCTACCATGCAGGCCCCAGGAATCAGAAGATTGATCCCAATTGGCTTCACTACCTGCACGTCCCTTTTTTGGACACTGAGGTCGCCAAGACCGTGGATGCAGATGTGTTCAAGGCGGCCTCTGCGTTGTCCACTGCGCATTTGGCCCCGCTTCAGGCTTCGATGTGGGTCGAGCGCAGGAAGGGGTTTTCCGATTTTGTTCAGCAGGTCCTTCAGTAGGCCTCCAGGGCTCCAGATGACTTCTCGAGTGGTCGAGGACTGGGGTCGCCGCAGAATAGCATAGGCAGTCGCCGAGGCGTGCTGCGGCTTTGGAGGGAGGTTCGAGGGGAGGAGAAGGAGAGGATGAGGAGGATGAGGAAGGGATGAGGAGCTTCGGAAGCAAGACCCAATGCTTCAGCACAACCGCACGCACCCCCAAACCCAATCCAGAAATACTCCAGGTGCCCCATCCTCAACCCTAGCATCGCACACCGTGGGCCCCATGAGGAGCATTCCCCAAACAGTAATTGCGCCTGAGGTCAGAGTCCCTAAGGGTTTGAGCTCCAGAGCCCCAGCCTAGGACGCCCGATTGCAATGTAGGGCATCTGTGGCTGACCTCGATCCCGAGGACGCCATCTCGACGCAGGGCTCGAAGCCCTGAGACTTTGAGTCGCGCTGGGAACTTGTGAAGTAAGCTGGGCCAGGCCCTCCCCCCACACGCACGTGCAACCACATTCAGCGCGATTCACGGTCAGCTCGAGTAGCATCCCTTTTCGTGGGATCTAGGGTGACGTCGCCACGGCATCGCTCGTGGTGGTTGGCTGTGCCGTGAGCGAGCGGGAAAAATGAGAGATAGCTGCGGTGTCGTCCCACCTGGCTTTGATAGATACCATTCCCATGGATTCTCCGCCTGCCCCTTATTTAATCATCCCTTCGGGAAGTCCGACTGCCCCATTGCCATCCCTTGTCGGGATGCGGGAAGTCTGCCTGCCCTTCCTAATGCATCGATCTAGCTATGCAGTCAACTAGCCACGTCTGCGCGCGTACTTGTGCGTGGGTGATTTGAGGTAATCATGGGCGTGTTTTGGGTGTTGCCCCTTGGCGTACTGGGGTGTGCTCGCGTGACTTGGGCGCGCTTGGTTGCGATTGGGCGCGCGCGCTCGTGCTTGTGCAAATTTGGGGGGGTGGGTGGGCGCGCGATCGGTTTGGCTGATCTGGGTTCGCTGGCGCGAGCACGGCCTCACATGGGGTGGTATCCGATCGTCCAGCGGCCTCGCTGGGACACGTGCCCTCGATGGGGGCATCCCCGTTCTGCGTCGTCTCTGGTTGCGTCCGTTGTTGGATCCCCCTTGTCGCGCCAACTTTGGCGTCGACAAAGCTGCGGGCATCTAGCCACTGGCTCTAGATATAGAGCCTGCGTGGTGGGATGGCACGTGGCGCGTTTCGTCGTGCTAAGCTGGCTCCGCTGTGAACGCCGCGTCGTTGTTGCGACGTTGCCCAGTACCTGGTTCCATCGCCGTCGTCGGGGTCAGACGATCGGCGTATGTGCGATGACGACGAAGTGTCTTTAGCGTGGTCGTGCTTGTGGTGTGCGAGCATCAGCAAATGTGGATAGCGCGGGCGTGTGTTCAAAGTTGTGCGCGGCGAAATACGTTGGTTCACGCTTGCGTCTTCAACGCGTTCTCTTGTGGACGCTGTGGGCGTTTGGGTGGGCAACGCAAAGGGCTGTTAACAGGGGTTTGACCTGAAACCCATGTGTTCACAGCAGGATCGGCGCGTCTAGCTGGTGCGGCATCGCCTGCCGCGGTCGCCCTTGGACGCCATGCAGGCCGAAAAGCGGGGAGGGGGAGGCAGGAGGTCGGATCGTCTCAGACCCCTTCTCGGCCCCCTATCCGTAGCGTCTGTCCGGCCTTCTGCTCTAAACATCCCTTGGGACTTCAGCGTCTTTATGGGTCAACACGGCCGAAATCCTCCACGGGTGGTCCTCTTGTTTCACCGCTTCCCTTGTCAATGAGAAGTATATGGCTCTTCCTTCGGGGAGTCTGCTCCACGTCGCGGGGTTTGTGTGTGTGCGTGCGCTTCTCACAAGATGAGACTCCAGCGAACTCATCATGCTTGGTTATGGCAGGAGTGCGGCTTCTACGTTCATGCTTCCATGCGTGAGCTAGAGAAGCCATGCACGGAACGGACCGAGCCGCGCAGAAAAGTCTGTTTGAATCGTTTGGATGCTGGGTTATGGCCAAAGGCTTTGAGCAAATCCGAGCAGCGGCTTGGAAATCGTGTTTCAGAATTTGAACCACTGCGTGGGATAGTCTGTTCCTGGTCCCGTTCTCCCACCCCTCTTCCTGTCAGCCGGCCCCCCTCTTCCTCTTCCCCGCCCCCGTCCACGACCCCTTCGCCTTGTTCCCCACGTCTCCCCGCCCTCCCCACCCCTCTCGGCCACTGCCTGGGAAAACGGGGACAGGGGCCCCGGGGGGGGGGTGCGCCGAGGGCCTCCCCGCTCGGCCCGCTCCGCCCAGTGGCAGGCGCGGATGAGGCGGCCACCGCCTGCGCCTCTGGTGGAGCGCCAGTGCTTCCGGCAGTGTGGAAGGACGGAGGAGGAAGAGGGAGGAGGGAGGTGGAAGGAAAGGAGGAAGAGGGGGCATGGAGGGGGGGAGGGAGGGACGCGGAGGAGGAGGAGGAGGAGGAGGGAAGGAGGGGGGAGCAGCGAGGAGGATCATGCGCCGCCCCCCCCGCATGGGGACACGGCCGCCACCAGCGCGATACCTCCAGCGAGGATGTCCTCGGCGGGTCCGCTCCGCTGACCCCACTGTGCCGCGGAGCGGGCAGGTGCGGCGGGCGGGCTCACGCGAGCGGGCTGGGAGGGCAGGGCAGTACTGCGGGCGGGCGGGCTTTCAAGCGTGCGAGCGGGTGGGCCCCAACGAGTGGGTCGTCGGAGCGCTGTAAAAGAACACCACCAGAACCTGTTTGTTTTTGGCGGGCAAACGCACAGTCCCCAAACAAAATCAGCTGTCGAATGCAAATCCCGGCAGGCACGTTTCAGACATCGAGGAATCACTGCGCATGTACACAGCCAACTCACGTAGTCCGTCTCGTTCGGAATTCAGCGCGCGTGTCCTTGCAAGGAAGCTGGCGCCGAAGCGACAGCAAGATCCATGGTGGAGGCGTAAGGTTGTCTCAGAGAGTCTCCCAGCGGGAGACACGTGTAGTGAATTCTCAGGAAACCACGAGAGAGCGCTGCCGGGAGGGAGGACATGGAGTCGACAGAGTGTCCCTTGGTTATCGTACCTCGAGCTTGGGTGCTGGTGGTAATCTTTAGGTTGCCATATCGCAGATTTATTACCACCAACACCAGTTACCACCAAAGGCTTGTAGGTTTGTGCCACCTCACGCGGCCCACAGTGCTTTCCTCGGGCCCTCGGCAGTGGTTCGCAGGGTCTACGAAGGCGTTCCTGCTAATTATCCTGGCCGCGCTCTTTCCACCGGCGTCGGAGGCGAGGTGTGGGGCGTTTTTTTTTTATATGATGCGAGCAGGCCGGCTGATGGCCAAAGTGCGCTTCTGACAGTTGCTTCCCATAGGCACGCGCGGCCCAGGAAGGCAACCCCAGTGTGCATCCGCGCGTGTTTGGATCGACATTGAGCCGCGAGGTGCGACAAACGGCCGTTGCATGTGTTCGGCCCCGATGTTGGTGGTACTATGTAGGCCTCCCGGGTCGGGCTGAAGGGGGTGGGTCATGTTGCGGGCCAGCGTTCAGGCGAGCGGGCAGGCCCTGTCGAGCCGGGGGGGCATGCCCGACATCCTAGACGGTGACACCTGGAGCAGTTCGGGCTCGGAAGAGGCTCGTTGTTGTTCTGATATTTTCATTGCTGTTTTTCTCGCTCTCCTCGCGCACTCAGGCGCAGGGGGGGAGGTAAAAAAGGTGTCTCCTTCGCAGGTTGTACTCCTGCATAGTATTCGCTTGACCGAACCGAGCGGGCAAACCAGAAATCCAAGGATTGCGTAGGCGAGGACGTCAGGGTGAGCAGCAACAAGTTACAATCTCACTAAAGAGCTGACATCTATCGTGCAAGAGTGCGACGCAGCTTGAACTTGTTGTAGAATCCGCAATTCTTATCAAATCCCGTTCCTTCTCCCGCTCCTTCACAGCTTGCGTTTCTTCCTTCCTTCCTTCCCGCCTTGGCCTTCCTCCCTTCCCATCGCCTCCCCTCTCCATTATGGTTTTCTTCCTCCCTTCCCTTTCCCTCCTCTCCTCTCCTCTTTGCTCCTCTCATCCCCTCTCATCTTCTCTTTGCTCCTCTCTTCTTCTCTCCTCTCTTCTCTTCTCCTTGAGGCAAATGGAGGGACCTCAACAGGCGGGCTGTGGTATACAGAGGGATGCCTGCGGCGACATGGTGGCCAGAGGGCTGCACTTGCCATTCGCCCCGAGCGTCTCTTCAACCCGTGCACCTCCCTCGTGTCAGCCCCGACCTCCCCTCCTCGCCCCGCTCCCCTCCCGAGGCTCTATGGCCTGCTCGGCGTGCGCCGCGGTGCCAGCGACGCGGCGGTGCGCTCGGCATACCGGCGCCGCGCGCTGGCGACGCACCCCGACAAGGGCGGCTCGGCCAGCGAGTTCCTGGAGGTGGTGGAGGCCTTCGGCTCGGGCTGCCCGGGGCCGCCGAAGAGCCTGCGAGGGGCCTCCGAGGACGTCGGGAAGACCGCCGGGGGGGGGGGGCAGGCTCCGAGGACCTCCGCGGCGGTCTCCGAGAGCCTCCGAAGGCCGCCGAGGGCCGCTCGGCCTCGTGTGGCGGCGGAGCCTCGGCTCGGCCACGGCGCGCTGGGCGGGGCGGCTCGGCCGCGGCTGGGCGGGCAGCGGCGGCGGGAGCAGGGGCAGCGGCGTGCGGGGGGGGGGGGGGGCCGTCGGGCGTGTGGTTCCGGGGGGGGGGACCTCTGCATGGGGGGCGAGGGCGAGGGCCCCCTTTGGGGCCCCCCTTGGGGCCAGCCAGCAGGGGCCCCCCAATGGGGGCCCCGACGGCACGGGCGCGTGGCGTCGTAACGTCTGCGGCCACGGTGGGCCTCTGCTGGGGGCCCTCGTCGGGCCCCTGGGGGCCCGTCGGAACCGCCTCCCCGGCGGCCGCCCCCGGGGCCGCCCCCTTGCCGCCGGTCCATCAGTGCGCCGTGCGTCCCCCCGGCCACTTCGAGCGCGCGTGCGGATCGCCTGTTTGCCGCGCTGGGGCAGGAGAGTTTGGGTGGGCCTGGGATCGGTTTCACCGGTCCCCATCCCCATCCCCATCCCCTTCGAGACCCCCACCAAGTTGCCACCCCAGTCGGGGACATACCCCTCGAAACCCGAAGGGAACGACCTACTTATATCCTTATCTAGGGGGTAAATCGGCCAGTGGGGCCCAGGCCACGCCGCTGGGGATGGGGATCGGATAAACGATACTCATGGGATCGGTGTGTGACAGTCTTCTGGTTCCCGCCAGGGAAGCGTGCAGCCCCGACGGGATCGGCCCTGGCAGGATCAGCGGGGTGGCCAAGTGGGCGCGAGCGCATGTGCCTCGGCCGCCTGGCGGGCGCCAGAGCAGCGGGAGCGAGGCGGAGCAGAGGGAGGCAGTGGGAGCTATCAGAGGATAGACGAGCAGGGGAGCAGATGGAGGAGCAGGAAGAGGCCGAGGAGGGCCTCGTGCGCGAGGGGCGGAGGGCGTGCCGGCAACGCTGCCCGTCCCTCCTCGCCGCGGCTGGATTCGCCGCGGGATCCTGGTCGAAGCAGTTGAAGCACGGCGCGCACAGGGAGAGGTCCAGTGTTGGTGTCTGGTTTCTCCCCCCCCCGGAGAGCGGAGGGAGGCTGAGTGGAGGACATAAGTGATGAGAGAGCTATGGGGATGAAGACGCAGGAGGAGGAGGAGGGAGAAGAGGAGGAGCAGGAGTAGGAGGAAGAGGAGGAGGAGGAGGAGGAGGAGGAGGACGTGCCTCCGGCAATGTGGAAGGACGGAGGAAGAGGGGGAGGGAGGAGGAGGAGGAGGAGGAGGAGGAGGAAGAGGAGGAGGAGGAGGAGGAAGGAGATGGAAGGAGAGAGGAGGAGGGGAGAGGAGGGAGGGAGGGAGGGGAGGGAGGGAGGGGAGGGGGGGGGGAGGAGGAGGAGGAGGAGGAGGAGGAGGAGGAGGAGGAGGAGCAGGAAGAGGATGAATGAGGCGGAGGAGGAGGATGAGGAGGAGGAGGAGGAGGAGGATCTGCTCGCCATCGCCGCCGAGTCGCTGGAGTTCCCAGGGGGCGGTGTGCTTAGAGAGGGCGATGGGGCGAGGAGGAGGAGGAGGAGGAGGAGGAGGAGCAAGAGCAGGAGCAGGAGCAGGAGCAGAAGCAGGAGGAGGAGCACGACCCTTTCTGCTGGGCGATTCACGGGTCATCCTCAAGGCTTCGATCCACATTTGTCCAGATAGCCCGCGGTCAAACCATGTTCAAGAAACCGTGGAGGCATGGGTTCTACATGGTTTAAGCGATAGGAAAGGCCGGTCGCGCTGTTACGTTGATGACTATCCGTGCATGTCTCTTACTTGTGGCTTTTGCAGCAGCAGCGGAGTCGGTGGTATACGACGCAATATTGCGACCACGTAGTCACAACAGTTCCAGAAGCGGACAACACTCGGACCCGCCACCAGTCCCTGCAGCGTGGTTGATATACAGGGAGGGGCGTCGTCCAGAAGCAGCTCGAGAGCAGCAATAATGACCAAGGAGGCCCGCGATGCAGTTCGCTGGGCAGAACCACTCTACATCTTGTTGTTTCCATGAAGCAGCTTCAGCACGACATTCGGCTCGATGCAACGCCGCTCGTGGGACCAACCCGAACAGTTTGGCGACGATACTTCCCTCTGCCAGAGCAGGCGACCCTGCGACCCTCGTCTTCGCACCAGAGCCAAATGCGCTGGGGCGAAGGGGGATGAATGTTGCACTGCGCGTTCGCCCGCAGTGTTCTCGTCGATGCGTCTGTCGTGTCTCAGCTTGGCCTCGCTAGAATTGGGGCTGCCCGTCCATTCGGCATTTTCGAGGCGTGATGCGGTTCCCGCTGTCGATGCGCGATTCCAATTGGCTGGCGCGCGCGCGCGCGGGTGTGTGTACAATAGGGCGCCCTAGCACAAACAAGGTGGGGAGGAAACTGATTGGCATCGCCAAAACCCCGCGGCAGGTAATGATCAGGAGAGCGCCGCCGCGACGCAGCGCCAGCGAAACCCGCCAAGAGAGCCCCCCGTTGTCTGTTCACGCCGCATCGGCACCAGGATGGACCACGCACCGCGCGCTGGCTGGACGGGTCATCCACCGCACGATTCGCACCTGCCTTGTCGGATGTGATGAGACGGCCTGACGGTTACCGGGCCGTCACGTATATATCGCCCAAACGGGACATGTCATCGGGCGGAGGTCAACGTGATATTTTGATTATTTGGAGGGCAGTCTTCATCGTCCCTTGTCTTTTTCACTGTCCTCCCCCGCTCCTCTCCCTTTGCCTCCCTATCTTCCCCTCCCCTCCCACTGTCGCCATCCCCGCTTCGTGGTTGCCTCTGTGACCACCCCCCTCCGCCCGCCCGTCCTTCCCGACTCCGCCCCCACCTCGGGCGGCCTCCCCTCTCTTTCGTCACGGGCTGTCTGGACTCCCCTGGTCACCCGAGGGGGCGCGGACATCACCGCGCTTCCAGCTCCGCGGCCCGGGGTGGAGGGCGCTGCGGAGGCGCCCGCCTGCAGGGTGGCGGCGCGAGGGCGCAGAGATGACGAGCGCGCCAGACATGACGGGGCGCGGGTCGCGACGTCGGGTGGCCCAGGGCTGGGCACCCCCTCCTCCTCCTTCCTCCTCCTCCTCCTCCTCCTCCTCCTCCTCTCCTCCTCCTCCTCCTCCTCCTCCTCCTCCTCCTCCTCCTCCTCCTCCTCCCCCTCTCCCTCCTCCCCCTCCCCCTCCTCCTCCTCCTCCTGCTCCTCCCACCCCCCAGCAGAGAGCACCCCGCGAGCGCCGCGGAGGCGTTCGAGGTCCTGTCCGACCCCGCGCGCCGCGCCGCCTACGAGGCGGGGGGCCTGCACCTGGAGGAGTCTGGGCGTCGAGTCTTACAGCCGTTGAGGATCCCTCGTCGAGCCCGAGCCTTGCCCTCTCTGAGGCGATGCATCTGGAAGGCAGAACACAACAGCAACGGTTCTGTCTTGACACCCGAGCGACGCAGAAAAACGGGGTCGTCTGCGCCGACATTCGCGCGTAAGTTGCCCGCGTCAGGTCGCGCGTAAGCGCCCTCGTCTCCACTGTGGCGTGCTGCGCCGGCGGCCCGCGTAAGCCGCGGTGCAAGGTCGCTACGTCATCTCGCGTAAGACCCGTTTTTGTTCGTCGTTCTTTTGAGATCGCCTTCCCCTGCTTCCGCCCCAGCCGCTTTCCCCGCGTCTCCCTCTGCCTCCTTTGTGCCCGTCCCCTGCCCCTCCCATGCCTCCTGATGCTTCTTTCGCCCCTGCCTCCTCCGCCTCCCCTCCCACCTGCGCCCCCATTGCCTCTGCTTCCCCTCTCCCTCGCCCCCTCTCCCGCTCCCCCCCTTCGCAAACGTCGGCTGCCTCGTTATGCATCTCTGCCCCCTCCACCCGATATTCTTGAACTTACACCATCCCCTGCCCCCGCCTCTCTCTCTGTCTCTCTTTCTTTCTCGCTATCTCTCTCTCTCTCTCTCTCTCGCTATTTCTTTCTTATAATATATATATGGCCCGCTTTGCATATTTTGTTTTTCTCTCTTTCTTTCTCTCTGTTTCTTCGGTTATCCTCGCTCTCTCTCTCTCTCTGACAAGCAAGCACTACCCACTGGCACACCGACTTCGACTTTTCAGCCGGACCGTAACACCCGCAGCACTCTACGGAGCAGAGACATGGACGCTCACGGAACCTCTCCGGCAACACCTGCGGCGAACACAACGACGCATGCTCCGCACGATCATCAGGACACCAAGGCGACGCGCTACCCGCCAAACGACCCCGACGAGCAGCACCCAAGGACACGCGGACGACCGCACGACCACTCAAGCACCTGACCAAGAAACCAGCAGCAGCGACGACGCAGAGAGCAACGCGCCCCAACAAGACACGACCGACCGACACAGCGAGAGCAACGACAACAACAATGACGAGGACGCGATGGAGCCGTGGGTCGACTACATCCAGCGAGCCACGCGGCGCACAGAACAGCTCATGCAGCACCACCACATCGAAAACTGGGAGACGATTCACAGACAGAGGTCGTGGCGCATGGCATCCAAGGTAGCCAGACACGAGCCCACCAGATGGACGTGGCGTGCACTGCACTGGCAACCAGGAGAGAACTCACGGCAACGTGGCCGGAGACACCACGGCGGCCAGCGCAAGCGCTGGGACGACGACCTCATCAGCTTCCTTCAAGAACACCGACCCGACCTGCACCCAGCGCCCGCACCAACCAACGAGCAGGGCAAGCCGAACGACCTCACTTGGGTTCGCTCAGCTCAAGACACCACCACGTGGTCGACACTCGAACACAAATACATCAGCACGTCGCCGACATTCACAACCAGGACTTCCTCCTCCTCTCCTCCTCCGTCATAACTTTTTGTGTGTTGCACAGAATCATTTATTGTGTGTCTCGCAGTTCTTGTGCATGTCTCTATGTTTACAGGAGGCCATGGCCTCACCCACCTGGTCTGAGCAGGCCCGGACAGCTGTCCGATGTGGTGGTTCGTTCGTTCGTTCGTTCGCTCTCTTTCTCTCTCTCTTTATCGTCCGCTGTCTCGCTCTGTGTGTCTCCCTGTATCTCTCTCGTTATCTCTTTGTTTGTGTTCTCTCTCTCTCTCTCTGTCACTCTCTCTCTCTCTCTCTCTACGTTTCTCCATGTTTACACACATACTTCCTGCTTCTGTCTACAAGCCTTCCCTGTTATGTTTCTCTCAATCCCTCTCTTTTTCTCTCCATCTATCGCTCTTTATTTCTCTCTCCCTTCCCTCTCTGTACAGGCCTGTGCTTCATATTTGGATATATATATATATATATATGTATATATATATATCTATATATATACATACCTATATATCTAGTCAGCGAGACAGAGAGAAAGGGAGCGACACAACAAACAGCAAAGTTCTATCTGGGCCCACCCACCCCCTTCTCCCGCGAAGCCCGCGCTGGCGCGCCAGCGGGAGCTCGTCCGCGCCGACGACCCGGACGGGATCGCGGCGGCGGACGCGGGGGGCGCGAGCCAGGCCTCTTGCGCCCTCCTGCCTTACTTCTTATCATGCTCATCCCCCTGCCTCCTCGTCCTCCATCTTCCTCCTATGAGGAGGGGGAGGAGGAGGAGGAGGAGGAGGAGGAGGAGGAGGAGGAGGAGGAGGAGGAGGACGAGGAGGAGGAGGAGGAGGAGGAGGAGGAGGAGGAGGAGGAGGAGGGAGGGGGGAGGAGGAGGAGGAGGAGGGCGAGGAGGAGGAGGAGGAGGAGGAGGACACTTAGCCGGCGGCGAGCGAGGGGGGGAAGTGAGAAGGAGAAGGCCTCAGAAGGCGGCGGCACTTCTCAGAAGCCCTCGCGCCTTCCTGAGAAGCTTGTTGTGTCTTCGGGGGGAAGGCTTGGAAAGCTCCTCAGAAGGCCCGGTGACTTCCGAGCCTCCTGAGAAGGCCCGCCCCTTCTCGCTTCCCCCCCTCGCTCGCCGCCTGTACAGTCGAGGCGCTGAGATCAGGGCCGTTCTTCGAGTGATCGCACACCTGGGTTGAGGGGGCGTGGATTAGCGACGGGTCCCGCTTCCATGGGAAATCCTGGATTTCCGCCGCCGAACGAGGCGGCACCTGCCGCATTTCGGGAAGGGCACCTCCCCCGATCCATGGATTTGGCGCCCGCGCGCCCGAAGACATGGATCGCTAATCCATGTTTACGCGCCCCCGAGTTCTGGGCTCAGGAGGGGCTCCATGTTTGGGCAGTCGGGTGAGTCTATGTCGGGGGCCTGTGAGTTTTGCTGAGGCCCGTCGTGGCCAGAAACGCCCCTGCGTTTCCTATTCAGCGTTCGTTGTGATCTTAAATCGGGCCTGTCCCTCTACAGGGGGAACATTCAAAAATAGTAAAAAATAGTCGGGGAACTATTTTTCGAGTATGTTTGAACATTTTTGGTGCATTTGTTTGGTAATGTTCTATTTTTCGTCAAAAATCCGCCTGTAGGGGAACACGCCCGACCTAAATGTAGTGGCACGGTGGATGTACTACGAATGTCTTCCGGTAAGACCTACACCAACCAGGATTGACAGGAGGCTTGGCCAGGAGTGGCTTGGGCTGGCCGGGGTAATTCTTCAATCGGTCGCTCTTTCAACAAGATTGAGGACTTCGGACCTGGCGACTGCTTTGCGTCGCGCTGCAGAGTTGCAGCGAGTGTGCGAGCAGCGGGGGTCCGCAGCCTTGGCTCGACGGGGTGCCGAGCGCACCCGGCGGCGCCGCGGCGCTCGCTCGCTCGCATCCGGGGGGGGTGTCTGTCAAGCAGTGGCGAAGCGTCTTGGCTCGCCTATAGGCCCACCAAGGAATGTTCTAAGAACCGTGTGTGGTCTGCACGAAGTGTTCTTAGACCATCTCTGGCTGAGACCGTCTTGTTTTAACACATCGTGCTCATGTTCTGAGAACCTTGTTTTGTTCTTAGAACACTTCTGGGTTCTAGGAACCCGTCGTGGTAGGCCTATGCGGGGGTGCCGCGACGGTCGGCCCCTGCTCAAGTCTGGCGGCCTCGCCGCGCGGCCTGGCCTCTGGCCTCGGCGCCAGGGCTGGACCTAAACGGTGTTTCGGCGATTTCGTGGGCCGCTTTCGCTCCGATGTCGTCTTGCGGTGAAGGCGCATCGAAGACAAAACGAGGGCGAACGAAAGCAACACGAACAAGAAATATGCCGTTTAGGTTCAGCCCCTCTCGAAGCGCCGGCGCTCCCATGGAGGGCTTCCTCCTGAACCCCGACTTCCTGCCGGCCGTGGCCCGCCTCGCCGCCCGCGCGGGGCTGCAGCTCTCGGCGCTGCGCCGGCGGGGCAGCGGCGACTCCGCGGGCGAGGGCGCCACGAGCACGGGGCGGCGAGGTCGGTGCAGCTCATTAGGGCGCCGCCGCTGGCGGGGCCCATGCCTCCTCCTCCTCCTCCTCCTCCTCCTCTCCTCCTCCTCCTCCTCCCCTCTCCTCCTCCTCTCCTCTCCTCCTCCTCCCTCCTCCTCCTCCTCCTCCTCCCTCCTTCCTCCTCCTCCCCTCCTCCTCCTCCTCCTCCTCCTCGCCTCCTCCTCTCCTCTCCTCCTCCTCCTCCTCCTCCTCCTCCTCCTCCTCCTCCTGGGGGCGATTATGGCCCTGAGATGCGGCGTCGCGAGCAAGTAGTTGGAGCATCGTGAGGACTCACGACCGAGAGCCCCGGACCTCCTCCTTCTTCGTCGTTTTCTGAGCGGGGTCGAGCTGTGGGGGTCCCCGGGCCCGAGACTGGGCGACGACGCCTGGCTGGACAAAGCTGAGACGTCGGGATCTCAGGGATACACCTCTCCTGAGCCCAGCAGGGGCCTGGCCAGCCACGATGGAGATGTATGATCTCGTCGCCCTGCGCCAGCAGCCCATGGCACGAGGCGTTCCGGGCCGCCCTCGCGGCCGACCCCGCGGAGACGTTCGCCGCGGAGGCTCTGCTGCAGCCCTGGCGCGCGGAGCCCCTGGTCGGCGGGGAGCTGCAGGCGCTGGGGCCCTCCGCGCTGCGGCGCCTCGCTGTGCCTGGCGCGGTGCTCCTCGGGGTGCGGGCGTGCCGGGTGCGCTCAAATCACGGCGGCGCTGGGGTGCTGGTGCTCAGCTCGAAGGAAAAAGTGCATGAGCCTCATTAAACTGTCGACGGTCCACGCGGATTTCTTGGATCTGCGCTGGAACCCCTGGGGGCACCTCTGGCGCCGCCGCTGGCGCGCTCCGCGCGCCAGCGAGGGTGGTCCCGCGCAGATCCAAGACATCCGCGCAGCCCTCGAAAGATTATTTCGATGCAGTTGTTTCTTCCTTTACCAACGGCCAAGGCTCAGTGGACGTTGGGGGCCCGCAGCCGGGCGGCCCCGAAGGGGGGCCGACGCTTGACGTCGTGGTCTGCGAGGTCGCGTACGGCAGCTCCGCCGGTGCTCCAGGCACGGGCGGCGTTGCCGCCGACGCTGCCGCGGACACCGCCATGGACGAGGCGGTCGCCCCGGAGGCGCCGGGCGCACTGCGTGTGGAGGTGCTCCACTGCCCGCCGGTCGTGGGGGTGAGCGAGGAGGCCGTAAGGGCAGCGGGCGCCTGGGCGGAGTCGCTCTGCCTGCGCTACGCGGCCGCCGTCTTCGTGGCGCCAGAGAGCCACTGCGCCGTGGCGTCGCTCCTGGCCGAGGTGGGTTTCGCCCCGGCGGCGCTCTCCGCCCGGAGCGGCGGCGCCCGCGGCCTGCTCGGCTCGGCGCTGGTCCGCCAGGCCGCGCAGCTGCGCGAGCAGGCGCTGGCCGCGGGCGCCGCAGACAGGGCCGACGGCGCGGGGGCCGCCCTGGAGGAGCGGGCGGCGCTGTGTCTGGCCGCGGCCTCGGCCTCGGCCTCGGCGCCGCGGCCGGCAGGTGCCCGGGTGGGCCCGCCGCTGCTGCTGCTCGAGGGCCGGGACGCCGTGCCCGTTGGCGCGCTGGCGTGCGGAGCCGTCGTGGAGCGTGGGCTCGGCCACAGCGTGGTCCTCGGGCTCGAAGGGCCATCTCGTGGTGGCAGGAGGCAGCGCACGGTGCTGCTGGCGCGGCGGCGGCTGCCGCGCGGAAGGCAGCAGGCGGCGCTGCCCCAGGAGGGCACCGTGCTCGCTTGCCTGCTGCAGCGCCGGCAGCAGGGCGAGTCAGGACCTCCGGGCGAGCCCGTGCCGTCGCTGACGGGCTCACGGAGCATCGACCTCGAGGATCAGGCCGAACGAAAGGGGGGGATAGGGAGAGGGCGGGGTTACGAAATTTCTGCATGCAGCTGGTTTCGGCCCCGCCGCCAGGCCCATTCCTCGATATATGGGCGCCTCCCAGCGGCGGGAGGCGCTGGGAAAATCAGCTACGTGAGCTGATTCTCTACCTTGCCCTTTGCTATCCCCCCCCTGTCGTTCCCCGAGAGGACCTTCTGGCGCAGCAGGTCTGCATGAGGTCGCTGGTTGTCTCCCGCTGCGCCGTCGCGCCTTCCCGCCACGGTGCTTTGTGGGCAGAGTGCGCGGCAGCATCGCAGCGCGGCACGGCCGTGCCACTGCACCGTTGTCCTGGCGCCTCTCGTAGGGGCGTCGGCAGGTCCTGGATTCCTCCTGGAGCCATCAATATTCAGGAGGGAAAGATACACGCAGACACAATGAATCGTCGACCCCCAGGAGAGGATGGGAAAATATGGGAAGTGGGGGGGAAGACGAAAACACAGAACATACAGGAATATACAGGGAATCTGGTTATTTGTGTCTATTTACGAGCATTCATAGTAAAACATAGTCGGAGGAAAATGTGTCGATTTATTTTCTTGCCACTTTTGAGCAGTTTTTGACTTATTCTCACTATTCGCCCAAAATCGGCCTGTAGGAGGACATGCCCGACCTAACAACAGGGGCTTGGGACCATGCTGTTGGGGCCAGCCTGGGGTGTGCTGTCTAAGAGATGATCTTGGGCCGCCTTCTGGCCGTGCTGTCACGGTCGTTGGCCGTCTTGGGCCAGCACTTATCCGTATCGGGGCTGTTTTGGGGCTGGTGTGCGCCGTCTTGGGGCAGTTTCGGGGCTTGTTGGAGGCCTCATGGATCCAGCGATGTCTGGGGCGGCCTAAAGACCGTCAAAGAAAAACGCACCTGGACGAGCGTGAGTGAGACCAAAGGAGGAGACCAGTCAACCCAGACTTGCATCAAGCAGGTTGTCAAGATAGCGCAGATTAATCGTGTTTGCGTGTGTTGTTATTTCCTGTGGTTTGGGTTATTGCCGCCAGTTTCGCTTCACCTCGCTTATGTTTGCTGAGTTTCGCATAGCTTAGCTTAGCTGCATCGGTGATCAGGAGAGCTTAGATATTGCGGAGGCCGTACGGCCAGTGCCGCCGACCCTGAAGGGGGACGACGACGACGACGACGACGACGACGACGACGACGACGACGACGACGACGACGACGACAACGGCGGCGACGACGACGACGCTGACGTGGGCCAGAGTCCTCAGGGATGCTTCTTGGGATCTAGCTCTTCGGAAGGCTCTCGGGGGCCTCGGGGGAGGAATTGTTGGGCCTCTTGGGAGCCTCTTGGGGGCCTCTTGTGAGCGTCTTGGGGGTCTCTTCGGGCTTCCTGGGGACCTCCTGTGGGCCTCTTGGGACCTCTTGGGAACCTTTTTTGGGCCTCCTGGGAGCCTCTCCGGGCCGAGGGCTCGAAATGTCCGGTCGGGTCCCCCTGTCTGGATACGCGCTTGGAGCCGTCTTGGGGGCCTCTTGGACCGTCGTGGAGGCGTGTTGGGTTGTCTAGGGGTCCTCTTGGGCTGTTTTGGGGCCCTCTCGGAGGCCTCTTGGGCCATCCTGGGGCGATCGTTGGTGCCTCTTGCGCCGTCTGGGAGCGGTGGGAAGTGGAAAAGGCGAGAACGCCTAATTTTTTCCCCTGGATGAAGCAAGCAACGGGAAATCAATGAGTTTGGCCTCTTGGAGTCCGCTCGGGGGTGCTCTTGGAGGCTTCTTGGGGCGTCCTGGAGGCCTCCTGTGCAGTGGAGGGCGTGAAGGTGTTGTGGACCGATCGTTTGACGATTGGGGCCAATCTTGGACCGTCTCGGGGGCCTCTTGGGGCACTCTTGTTCTGTCTTGGTACTTTCTTAGGCCTCAGGACCCCAGGGAGGGATGCGTATCTGACCCCCCCCCGCTCCCAGGATCCGCCCCTACCCCTCCCCTATGCCCCCGGGCCCCCCCCCCCGACGAGGGAGGGATCAAAGAGAAGGGAACTCCCTTCGACTCGATTATGACATTGCTAGATTCTTTTCTGACTGGCAAGCTTGAGGAGGAGGGCGTAGGGAAATGGGACGACGGAGACAAGCTTGAGGAGGAGGGCGTAGGGAAATGGGACGACGGAGACGACGACTGACGGAGACGACGACTCGAACAGACAAGCCAGCACACACGCCGACAGGGTCGGCAGATTTTGTTGCGGTTTCGATGGGTTTGGTATTGACGTATTTGCGCATGCACTTGGCATTGCTTGGCCTGACGTTTCTCAGCCTAGATTCGGGTGGCTTGGGATAGGCGAGTTTGGCTTAGCTATCGGCGCAGCTCAGTCTTGCTTAGCTTTGGTTTGCGTTGGTTGACCGAGATTGGGGCAGCCTGGCTCGGACTAGCTTTGATCCGCTCGGCCAGGTGCAACGCGGCTTGATCCAATTACCCCCCCTCTCCCCCCCACACCACCCCCCCGGACAGCGGAGACTTGGGCCCAGATGGGATTCCCCTGGAGACCTGTTGCGAGCATGGCGGGCTCTGCTCGGGCCATGCTTGAGGCAAAATGGCCGAAGAAGGGCGCGGTGTCCGAACTGGCGCCCCCGTGGGCCAATCCGACACGTCGCTCCTTGGGCAGTCGGTCTTGATGAGCGCCGGCAGCAGCGGGCCCGCCTCTTCGTGCCAACGGTTGCCCTCGTCTCCTTGTGACGCGCAAGACCGCCCACAAGGGCCTCCCAAAGCACGCGCACGCGAGGTCTTCGGGTTGGGGCCCCACAGTGGACCGCGAGCCACCAGGGCCCGTCGGGGCCCCTTCGGGCACTCACGGGCCTTCTCGGGCCCGTCCATGATCCCCATGGTGCCCATGAGACGCCAGAGCGGTGAGACTGCGAGCATCGCTTAGTGGAGCCTCAGAGTTTGACGAGGCCGACTGTGCCACTTCTGCACTGCATCATTGGGAGGCCCGTGTGAGCGGTCTTGCGCCGTTTTGGAGTCAACCCAGGCGCCTGCGGCAAACGACCCCTCCACGATAGTGCAGCATCATCGAGGTCAATGTAGGATGGTTTTGCCCAGGTTTCCCGGACAGGCTCGATAAAAATGCATCGCGGGGCAGTCTTCGAGGCAGCTTTGCGATGCCGAAGCGTGTCGCTGCTGGAACGTGGCATCCATGGGGCCTTTCAGAGATCTCTCAGAGGTTTCTTCGGTGCTGATTTTGGGAACTTCTGAGGGCCTCTAGCGGCCCCCGCGGTGGCTTCCTGGGGGCTTCTGGAGAGCCTGGGAGCCCCGGCCGGTCTGTGTTGGTCGTCGGGCCGCCTTGGAACCCTCTTGGGGCGCTCTGTAGGGCTGTCTTGGAGACGCATTTTGACCCTGTGGGGGCCGTCTCTGGACTCTTTGAAGCTTTCCTTGTGCTTCTTGGAATATGTTGTGCAATAGATGTGGGGCAGCAAATGTGGTGCACTAGATGTGGTGCAGTCTATGTTGTGCAATCTGTGTGATGCAATCTGTGTGGTGCGCAATTTATGTGGTGCAATCGACGTGTCGCAATCTATGTGGTGCAACGCATGTTGTACAATCTATCTTGTGCAACGTAGGTGGTGCAATATATGTGTTGTAATATATGGTGTGCACAGTCTATGCGTTGCTGTCGACGTGGTGCAATTCATGTGGTGCAATTTCTATTGTGCAATCTATGTGGTGCAATCTATGCGGTGCAATGAATGCTGTGCAGTCTATCTGGAGCAACGTATGTTGCGCAATCTGCATATGTTGTAGAATCGATATTTTGCCATACATGTTGTTCAATCTATGTGGTGCACTCTGTGTTGTGCAACATATTTGGTGCAACCAATGTGGTGCCATCTATGTGGTGCAATCTATGCGGTGTAAGTAATTTCTGTTCGCAGTGAGTTGTCCACTCCACTGCTCGCGCAAACATCCCACCCACCCACCCGCAACTTGGTTTGCGACCGTGACGGTGGGTACCAACACCGACGACGACGCCGACGCCGACGACGACGACGACGACGATGACAACGACGACGACGATGACGACGCCGACGACGACGACAACGACGACACCGACGACCACGACGACGACGTCAACGACGACGACGACGACGACGACGACGACGACGGCGGCGACGACGACGCCGACGTCGACGACGAGGACGACAACGACGCCGACGCCGACGACGACGACGAAGACGACGACGACGTCGCCAACGAAGACGACGACGAGGAAGGAGGGAGGACGACGACGGCGACAACGACGACAACGACGAGGGAGAAGGGAGGACGGCGACGCCGACGACGGCTACGACGAGGGAGGAGAGAAGACGACGACGACGACGACATCGACAACGACGACGACGACGGCGACGAAATAGGAGGGACGACGACGAGACGCCGACGACGGACGACGACGACGACGACGAGGGAGGAGGAGGAAGGACGACCAGGGCGACAACGACGACGGAAACGACCACGACGCCAAAGAGGACGACGACGACGAACACGAGGAAAGACAGAGGACGACGTAGGCGACGACGACGACGACAACGACGCGGGAGGAGGGAGGACGGCGACGACGACGACGACGACGACGACGACGCAAGAGCGCGCGCGCACGCTTTTGTTGAAAATCCGTGTTGCGAAAGCTTGTGTTTTTGTAGGTTTTTTGGACACACGATTTTGAAATCCTTCCGAAACCGATGAGTTTTGAAGGTTTTTGGCATACTCGCGCGGCGACGCGCGCGTCTGCACTTCGTCTCATTTTTTGCATGGGATGCTCGCGACGGCACACGCGCAAGGGCGTTCGACAGATTTCGACATGAGCGCGCGCGAAGCCCGTTTGGTAGCATTTTGGGTAAATCTTGAAAAACCTACGGGTTTCTTAAGATTTCGCAAGAGCTTTCGCGGAAGCTTTTTTAGCAACTCTGTGTTGCGACACCTTGTGGTTTTGTATGTTTTTTGGAAACTCGATTGCGAAGTCCTTCCCGCACCGAAGGTTTTTGAAGGATTTCGGCATGCGCGCGCGACGACGCGCGCGTGTGCATTTCGTTTTTTTTTGCAAGGGATTTGTGAAAAAGTGCTATACTAGAGCAACAAATGTCACCGCATAGTGTTTTTTTACCAGGGAACCTCAGGGGGAGGAAACCGGCCTAGCTGGGATGGTATGATTTCATATTTACGATGGACGAGTGTGCAGAATATGTATGTATGTATGTATATATATATATATGTATATGAAATCATATTATCCCAGGGGGAACGGATAAGTCCGGGGGGGTAGAGTCTATATTTTTAAGAAAGGAGAATTGACGGGCGGCGACGAGGCGGCGACGGGGTGGCGACGGCGACCACATAGCCAGCAGACTGGCGCCCAGGCCCAGACGACGGGTGGCGACGAGGCGGCAACGGGGCGGCGACGGCGACCACATAGCCGCCAGATTGAGCGCCCAGACCCAGGCCCAGGGAGGGGCAGGGACAGGAGGGGTAGACGTCTACCCGAAGGAGAAGCACATTTTGATATGGTGGCTGGACATTAAACCACCTAGCGACAGTTACACGCGCACGCACACACACACACACACACATTCACACACACACGCACGCACACGCACACGCACACGCACACGCACACGCACACGCACACGCACACGCACACACACACACACACACACGCACGCACGCACGCACGCACACACACACGCGCACACACACAAGCAGACACAGACACACACACACACACAAACACACACACACACACGCACGCACGCACACACACACACACACACACGCGCACACACACACACACAAGCAGACACAGACACACACACAAACACACACACACACACACACTCTCACAGACGAACACACACACACACACACACCGCGTTGCAAGCGCGGTGGCGGACAGATAAAGGATGGCCGACCCACCCGAGCGCGCGCTTGCAGGACATTCGCGGAGAGATGTGGCGCTTCGCTGCGTGTCGAAGTGTCTGCCGACGGCTTGAGCGCCCAGGTCGTCGGCGAACCGCTGGAGGCCACTGCGGCGGCTGCCGTGCTGCACTCCCTTCGCAGCGTCTCGGTAGAGGTGCCCGAGCGCATCGCCTGGCGTGCCATCGGCAAGGGCGGCTCCGCAGTGAAGCAGCTCGAGCAGGACAGCGGGGGCGCCTCGATTTACGTCGACGTCACACAGACACCACACTGCGTGGAGATCTTTGGCGAGGCGGCGGCGGTGAGCCGGGCAGAGGGACTGCTGCGCCAGCGGCATGCACACGGACAGTTGCACCTTCCTCGCGACGCCGCGCCGCGTGTGATCGGCGCGCGCGGCGCCGCCATCCGGGAGGTAGAGGCAGAGAGCGGGGCGTCGGTGCATGTCGAGACCACGCCCGAAGCATGCCTCGTCCAGGCGGTGGGCGAGAGAGCGGCCGTCGAGAAGGCGCTCGAGCTGCTGCGCGAGCGCGCAGGCAGCTGCATCCGCGTGGAGGTGCCTCGTCGGATAGTCCCACACCTGATAGGACGCGCCGGTGCTGCACGTCGCGCCTTGGAGGCAGAGAGCGGGGCTTCCATTTCCGTGCGCGCCAGTGGCGACCCAGCTGTGTTCGAGGCCGTCGGCGCCCCTGCCGCGGTGGTCCTCGCGAGGCAGCTGCTGGAGGAGTTGTTGCAGCGCCATTGCCCAGAGGCGCGTGAGGGAGCCGGGCCCAGCGGGGAGGCATGTGCCCCCGCCGTTGAGGTGCAGGACGGGGATGCCTCTGACGGCGGCATTCCTCCGCGCACCGTGCCGCCCGCGGTCGAGGAGCCTTCGCTGAGAGGCGTAGCGCTTCCGGAGGCGCAGCAGGCCGGCGGCCAGCTCCCGGGCACGCCGCCGCGACGGCCCGGGCACTTGCCGGCGCGGCCGACGTTGGAGCCGAACGCGGCGGGTGCGGCGCTGCCCTGGTCGTGGACGCTGCCACTCGATCTGGGCACTCCAGAGCGGGGGGCGCCGCTGTTGCCCCCGGAGGGGCCCCTGGAGGACGCCGCGTCGGCCGCCGGTCCAGCGGTGCCGCGCCGTGCCGCGGAGAGGGCCTCGCTGCCTGCGCGGCTGGAGGCGCCCGCTGCGGGCGGCGCGCCAGCGCCTCCCATCGTTGCGCAGGCGTCGCCAGTCGCCTCGCGAGCGACCGTGCGCTCGACGAGCCGACGAGCACCAGAGGAGGCCGATCCCGCGTCGGCGGATGCTCCCAGGTCCCCCGAGAAAGTCTCCCAATCAGGGGCGCCGCGCCTCCGGTCAGCGCGGAGGGCCTCGCTCCCTGCTGCTCTCTTCGAGAGGACGGGCAGCAGGAGCCCGCTGCTCGAGGGGAAGGCCCTTCCAGAGCAGATGAAGCTCGACTCCAGGGCGCCAGTGCCTTGGACCTGGACACTGCCGCTAGAGGTCCAAAGCCCGCGTCAAAGGGACGCTGCCGCGGACGCACCGCGCCATGCATCGCACACGGCGCCCAGCGAGCACGAGGCGACGAAGAAGGATGACGCCCCCTTCGAGGTGCCGCCCGCTGCGGCTGGCGAGGGCGAGGCCACGGCAGCGCGGCGGAACGCGCCCGACGCGCCGCGCTCCGAGCGCGAGGCGGCCGCGGCGGTGGCGATGCAGCTCGTCCGTTCCTCGACCGCCCAGGAGGGGGCGGCCAGCGGCACGGGGGCAGCCCTTGCACAAACGTTCTCGCCGCAGCCCGGCTCCAGAGGGCGCGGGCCCTCGCCGCCTTCGTCCGCGTCCAGGCGGCAGCCTCGGCCGAACGCCCCGCAGCACCTGCAAGCGGCCGTTGGGCCTTTCCCTGGGGCGTGCGCCCTGCACGTGGAGCTCGGCAGCCCCTGCCCCTCGCGCAAGCGCCGGGCAGACTCGCTCCAGGCACCGACCGCCCAAGACGGTCTGCCAGAGCGCTCGCCGCGCTGCGGCCGGGCAGCCGCGCGGACCGCTGCGGGCTGCCCGGGTCCATCCGAATCCGAGCGGCCCGCCGAACGACCACCCGCGCGCGAGGACGGCGGTGAAACCTCGGCCTGCTCGGAGGCGCGGCCCGCCGTGTCGCCCAGCGGTGCTCCTCCGGAGGCAGCCAGCGGCCTGGGATCCAGCTCCACGGCATCCTCCGCCGCTCCAGGCGCAGCATGCACCCCAGAGGCCGCCGCGGGACACCGCGGCCGAGATGCTCAGGAAGGCTTGGCGGCCTCGGGCTTGGCGCAGGACGTGCGGGAGCATCTCCACGTCGGCTTGCACTGTTCTCCGCCGCTGCTACCTGCTGGAGCTGCTGCTCCACGTGCGCGGATCCGCCCGGCAGATGCTTGCGGCAGCGGAGGCCCTGATGGTACGGGGGCCATGGTTGCGGATGCGTCGCCAGACATGGAAGCGCGCTTGGCGCTGCCCCCTGCGAAGGCGGGTCTCGCCAGCCAGCCGACGCCACGAGAGTGCGCCGCGCAGGGCGACCGCTCGGGGGCTGACGCCCCCGCTCGGGGGGCCCCGGGGCCGCCTGCTGGCCCCGGGAGGGCGCGCGGCTCTCCCCCGCGCGCACCGCCGGCGCGCGGCTCGCCGCCGCCAGAGGCGCCGGCGCCGGAGGCGCCCACGCCGCTGCTCGCCGCCGCCGACGGCCCAGCGACCTCGCCGTGGTCGCTCCTGCCGACGCCGCTGCGGGCGGGAGGTCCGGAGCACGGCCGCGGCCAGACAGCGGCGGCTCTGCCCATGGCAGGCGTTTCTGTCTCTGTGGGCCTCGGAGGGCTCGTCGTCGCCACGGCTGGATCCGCCGATCGGGCTGGAGGCTGAGGGTCCGGGACGGATTGTGAACCTGGGCGTGGAAGCCGCCCCTCCAGATTGCGAGTGCGTTTCGTTGTCCCCCCCCCCCCCCCCTTTCAGTGTTCGTCGGACGGGACTAGGACGAGGATCGATCCGTTCCAGAGCGTCCTGGAACTCTCAGAGCGTTCCCGAACGCTTCGAGAAGGCCGCGGCGTCCGAGATATCCTCCAGAGCCGCCAGATCTCAGAATTTCCCGACTTGTCTTCACCCGATAATTATTCGCCTCGTCCTGGCTTCGTCTTATTTTGTTTTTGCAAAATTGGAGGCGGAAGTGGGGGAACGCTCGAAGACGACCAACATATAAACCTCACGGCTTGGGAGCGGAACATATAAACATTACGGCAGTTGAAGACGGCAGCTCTAGAAGGGGCAGGGGCGGTCAAGTCCTGGAGGAAGCCGAAGACGCGTTGGAGCACACAATGAACATTGAATGAGGCGGGCGCAGGCGGGCGAGGGGGCATGCGGAGAGCGGAGCACGGAACATGGAATACGCTAACATTGCGCGAACCTCCGCAGCGCAAAAGCAAGGCAACATGAGAAACGTAGATAAAATTGAGCCAGAAGTTAACAGAAAGCGCAACGAAAGTTCAAACGGGGGTGGGGGGAACGCGTCAGCCGTTTTGAGAGACAGCTGCGGAGCTGCCGTGGTCTCAAGTGGCCCTCCTCCGACAGGTGCGACCCCGCGGGCCGAGGGGGCGCCGGTCCGCGGGGGGAGGTCGCGCTCTCGGTCGCGCGCCCAGAGCCGGAGGCGCGGAAGCGCGCTCTACATCTCGGGTGTTGCCAGGAGTGCCCCTGGCCCAAGGTGCTTTCGCACCATTTTGGAGCCACCGGGCCCTCGTGGCCTCGTGAGGGGTGCTCTGGAGGCCGTCTGGGCCACCCCGAGAATCCTAGGGGCACCTTGGGCCAGGGGTACTTGTAGCAACACCCGATACATTCTTGACGGCCTCAACATCCTGAGGCACCGCAACAGCTGCGCCTCGAACGCGGCCGAGGTGTCGCTGGAGTGGAACCAGCTCGAGGGCGCTTGCAGGTTCGGTATCGTTTAACCAATCCCCATCCCCATCCCCATCCCCTTCGAGACCCCTGCCAAATCACCCCCCCAGTTGGGGATACACCCCTCGAAACCCGAAGGGGATGGCCTGTATCCCCATGTAGATGGGTACATCGGCCAGTGGGGCCCAGGCCATGCCGCTGAGGATGGGGATCGGTTAAACGATACTCACAGGTACTACACGTCCAGAGGCCGCCAGGTCTCGGTCTACCTGCCTCCGCTGCGGGACGGAGGTGAGGACTTCCGCATCGAGCGGTGCCGCCGTGAGTTCGGAGACGTCTTCGTCGTGTGCAAGGGCCGCGCCGGCACGGACGACAAGCTCATGATCAACACGGCGAAGTGCATGGACGAGGACGCGCACGCCGAGAGCAGCGACGGAGGTCCAGCGGGGCCCTCACGGCCACCGCCGCCGCCGCCGTGCAGCATTGTCACGAACGACCGCTTCGAGGACTGGCGGCAGTCTGGCCACGTGGACGCTCCGTGGGTTGAGCGGCACTGCGTTCGCTTCGCCTTCGGGCCTGGCGGTCGCTTCATACCCAGCGAGCTTGTGTGAGAATTTGCTTTGCGTCAGGCCCGCCGTCGCACCTTCCCCCTGATCGATGGGCGATGGGACGATAAACGACCCGTGCGTGGGTGCGGTGCAGACGACGTGCGCGGCGCAGTGGCTGCACGCCTTGCATGTCGAGTGAATGCCCAAGAGGTTAGCTGAGATGGCATCGCGGGGTGTGCCCTCAGCGGCCGCTGTGTGCGTGGCGTGGCCAGCACGCCATTCGTTTACTAATATTTGCTCGGTGGGCTACGTTGCCCAGCGGAGTGGAAGGTGGGTGATTGAGAAACGATAAGAGTGCGGAAGGAGGGAGGACGATAATGTAGACCGATGATTGAGGGGAGAGCGTGAATGCCTTGCAGGGGATGGAGCGAGAGAGGGAGGGAGAGAGAGAGATAGAGAGAGTGATCACGAGGAAGATGGATAGGGGAGGATGGAGCGGTTGGTTTCTCCCTCTCCCACTCTTGATACGACGTTTCGCCATTCTACTACCACTACCTCTTCTACGCTTCATCCCTTCTACGGTGTGCATACTGCCCCCGTCTTGCTATCGCCCTTGTGGGGCCACAATCGTAACCTTTCGCGGATAGCTCGTTGAAGTCGCTTTCCCGCTTGGGAGTGGCCCGCGAGTGCGGCGATTAAAGCGAGCGAGAGCGGGGCCGCACCGAACGCGGTCTGTAATGAATGCGTGCGAACGCACTACGCGTTGCGAGGTTGTTTGCGTGTTCATGTTTTCCAGAGATCCACTACAGCATGGCCAGCGCCAGCTCTGTGTCCTGCGCAGAATGTGTTCGGTGCATATTGCTACCATTGGGCATGCGCGGGCGCTTTGGACATACCCCGCCTCGCAGATA